TTATATTGCCTTGGGGAAAAATCAGGAATCAGGGTTCAATAGTGTAAGTGTCAAGTTCATCTTTTGAACAGTGTGACACATCCTGAAATTATGAATTGCATGAATGAAATGAAGCATAGAATATTGTAGATAGTTTCCCAAGTTTGGGAATATTTAGGGAAGGGTTTCCTAAAGAAGGGGAAGGGTTTCCTTGCATTTGCAGAGCTGAACTGCAAGTGCAAATGAAGCTATTCAAGTACTCACCTCACAAAACTATCTAGCTTTGGAATTTTGTGTAGTTGCTCTGCTCTTTGTTTCTTCTGTGCCCTCTTCTGGGCACCAGACTGATGTTTGTAAGGCATTCTAGCAACCAAGCATAACTTTTTGAAAGAACTGAAAGCATATATTTTTGTTAGAACCAATCACATGGAAAATTGATGCAATATAGCACTCATGAATAACCATAATGTCATTTGACTGATCTGCAGATTTGTGATGCATGGTACTGAAAGGCTTTGCTAGCTTTGGTGTGATAAAATTAAAGTTTGTTGTAACAAAATGCACAGCTAAGCATCAGGTCAGATAAATAATTAAAATGCATACAGGTAAATTGCAACACTATCTACCTCCATGATCGCAAAACATTAGTTCAGGTCAGCTGCCCAACAAAAAAAGATGCTTGTTAACTTGAAACTTATACTGGTGTATGTGTAGATGAAGTCCGAGTGGTAAAGGTTGTACGTATGCTGGCTGTAGGTGGTATTAGGTTATAGTTCAGTAGGTTAGTAATTTAGTAGGTAAGGTTTGGTCAGGTTAGATTGTTTTATCTTCCTCAGACCATTTGGACTTTGTCTACACATTTACCAAACAACATCTTTAACATTTTTAACATATTTTTTCATCCAAGTCATAGTATCAATCAGGAAGAGAAATGTAAGGGCAGATTTCTAGATAAATGGTGTTCAAATAACCCCGTAAAAATATAATGTGTCCATGCTTGCGGAACAGTGACATGATGAACTAAGATCTTGATGACAAAGGTAGGTATCATTATCAACTGCTTTCTTTTTCAGTCTTGCATGCATATCACCCTGGCAGGTCTAAACCAGCAGATCAATTTATCATTAATTTGCACTTGATACATAAAAAATATTAAGTAGGAAGGCAGGACTGGAGAAATAAATATAATGCATTACAAGGGGATGAAAATCAAGGGTGGATTTTACTGACTACATTTTACATGGTGCAATTATGAGAAGTCCAAGTCAATTAATAAACAAAATTTACGAAAAGGTTCGGAAAATAAGCACATTATACCTATTAAATAAAATCAACACTGCTGCACATTCAATCATCAAAAAAACTTCCAGAAAAATATGAGAAAGGGTTTGCTAGAAGCTAATGATAATTTGTGTAGGTTGAGGTATTGATGAAGTGCATGATAATGAAAAATAAAGTACAACCCGAATAAAAAACGTAAATGTCTAGAAGATCAAGATCAAGGTGCAGGTAGGGGTTCTGGCACTGGGGGTCAATAATTAAACTTCTATCCCTATTATCATTTACAAAACATTAAAGTAGGCAGCAAACAACAAGCAACGCCACCAATCCAGAGCTACCCCTCTCTCGTTCTTGCTGCACTCACGATATATTGACAAAACGATGATAAAAAGAAGCCTTCACTTGGTCTACACTTGTCTACACTGCACCTACTCAACATGAACCACACAGTCCACAGACACAACAGCAGACGGCCGACGGCCTTGCCCTTGAATCCCACGTGTGTCGTGTAATGGTATTTTCAAAATTCAAGCTGGACCGAAGAAAGGATATGAGTAGTGCGATATACTGACCAATGACGTCATCAAAATGCAGCGTGGTGATTGGCTATCGGCCCAGAATCTTCTCGTGGGTGATATCTTCGTCGGAAAGCGCCCACATATTCTGATTGTGTAGGTCATTTATTTAACGGAAAAGATATGTTCAGAAGAGTTCAAATTTAACAAAACATCATGCAAGGAATGGCGGTTGACTGAAGAGCCCTTCATTTCGATCGTTGTTTAAAAGAGTTTGACACATGGTACCAGTGACATCATAAGTTTGGCATATTGTCTATTGAGCCTTGTGAGCATGCCTCCCAAATAGGGCCATAATTCAAGGTTCAAGGTGCAACGTTTCCTAATGGTCTGGCACAGTCGGTAAGAGATTATGACGTCAAAAGACAAGATACATCAAGAGAGAGGGCCTAATCATATCTGACGAGCCCGCTTCGAGAAATGCCTACGAGTCTGAGACACGGGTGAGGGCCCCGGGGTCGGTCCATCCGTGGTCTCGGGCCCAAATGAATGGGGCCCGGGCCCCGAGTGGATGGGGCCCGGACCAACGGGTGGATGGGGCCCAGGTCCCCGGTTGGACGGGGGGTCCGGGCCCCCGGGTGAATGGGGCCCGGGCCCCCAAGTGGATGGGGCCCGGGTTCCCGGTTGGACGGTGCCCGGGCGCGCATTTACAAACTGTATACACGCCTTCGGAGCGCCAATCATATTGCACCAGCCGCTGGCGTGACGTCGGCCATGACGTCAGAGAAGGGGCGGAGCGAAGTTGGTTAGCCAGCTGTTTTCACAGCGCGGCGGGCGGCGCAGTGCGGCGAGCGCGCGATTTTGTTTGTAAACAATAGTTGCCAAGGCCGTATTGGTATAGATGGTTGCAGCGTGATTGATTTTGATTGTTTGATTGATGTGATGCGACGAGTATCATGGATGAGGTAGACAAATTGAGAAGGGATTTGATGACAAGTGAGCTTTTCATTGATGCCGGATTCCAAAACAATGTGATTTGTTCAGAGGCTGGAAACGTTCGCTTGAGGTGTAACGTCCGAGGAGAGCGTCAGTTCCAGGAGTGGAAGGAGATATATTCTTTGCTCACTCATAGCACATTGATCGTACGAAGAGCCGCCAGGGAGACAGAACACAACGTCTTCTCTCAGACACTGCTCTGCCAGCACGGCAGCACTCGCCACACTGGAAAAGTGAAGACGTCCACAAAGTAAGTGTGCTTGCATTTTGTAGGCATGTTATGTGTTACCTCTGCTGTGCAGAATCTTAAGGTATAGATAGGTAGAAATATATACTATATCATAAGTAGGTAAGCAGGTATACCTACCTATTATTCGATGCGTCTCTGCCGCCAATCTGTACCTGATTTGCACTGTCTACTAAAAAGTTATCACGACACATGTTTTTAAATTGGTTCTGAACGCCCGTAGCGTCGGGGAGGTTTGGGCGAGTGGACAGCGCATCGGGCTCTTACGCGGGTGTGTGCGCTGATCTGGTTTCGAATCCCAGCAATAACGATTTTTCTCGTCAATTTTGCCGATATTACGCAGAGCGTACATACATCAATAAACGGACGATTATAGAGACAGGGGCGGATCTAGAAAATCTCCAAGGGCTATTGGAAATCAGGAGGCCCTCACCTGTTGGAGGCCCCATTCTCCCACTTTTGGAGGCCCCCTAAACAAACTACTTTTCGAAAAAAAACTCATGGGATTTAACCCACTTTATATTCAGGAGACCCCTTTCTCAGCTTCGGAGGCCCCTAAAAGTCCTAGTTTTCGAAAAAAAAAACTCATCGGATTTAACCCACTCAGGAGGCCCCTTTCTCGGTTTCGGAGGCCCCTAAAAGTCCTACTTTTTTCGAAACAAAATCATCGGATTTCTCTCACTTCATGTTTAGGAGGCCCCCTTTTCAATTTTTCTTTATTAATTTTATTTCTCAAGACAAAAAATATCACTCAAGGGAGGGGCCATGGCCCCATCGCCCCTCCCTTGTATCCGCGCCTGTATAGAGAACTTATGGGGTTAAAATATGAGGTTATTATTAGGACAATTCCTCATTGTCTTGTAGCTGATACGTTGGGCTGTAGGCTCCAATTCAATGTTTTATTCATCGCCCAGTGGCGCAGCCAAAGCTTTGGTGACGGGTGACAGTATCATGAAGAAGCCCCTGGCGGAGTGGGTCACTTCCAAAAATGAAAGCTCATCGTTTTTTACCACTTCATTCTCGGAGGGCCCCCTCTCGGGTCCTCCCAGGCTTGAAAGCAGTGGCGGCCGAAGCGCGGGGGCAGCGGGAGCATTGACTGGAAGCAGGCCCTCTCCGGCTTGAAACAGGCCCTCTCAGGCTTGAAACGGGCCCTCTCAGGCTTTCCAAAAGCAATAAAATGATTTTTTCATTGCTACTTAGGTAGTTTCTAGTAACAGCACTAACCAGCTTGATCGAAATCGGCCTCCGTGATCAGAGAGGGGTGACATGTCACCCCATAGGCGTAAGAACGGTTCAAAAAATGAGGGGGCCAGATGAACTTTGATGTGACTTTGTGGTAACCCCAACACCCCTAGAAAGGAAATGAGATTTTGTGCTCTTCCCCGCTTGCTAAATCGTTTGCCACTTTTAGTTTTGCATTTAAAACAAAAACAAAGATTTTCAAAACAAATTGGATAAAAAGGTGGAGGGGCCATGGCCCCCCTGACCCCCTGGTTCCTACACCTATGTGTCACCCCTGTCCCCCTGGTTGCTCTACAGCCATCACCTTACGGGGAGAGGACATACGCTTTTTTTGTCGAGATGGCTGGAAAACGCGAAGGGATAGGATAAGGGAGCTGAAATTTGACCAATGCAGCTATCCATCAAAGACGGACTTTCAAGTGCCAAAATTGACTCCAGGTCAGGTCAGGTCACTGACATGTGGCGTCATTATCTGACCTCTACACAACCGAAAAAAGAAATGTATAGGTATCGCTGCCAACTCGGAGAAGTTCACTCGCTCTGACTGAAAATATAAACAGAAAAAAAAAACAGCAAAAGGTCTCAGCAAGTTATTTCCCATCTCCCTAAGTAACTGTCCGGCATCGCTGGGTTTGATTTCCCAATGACTGATACCTAAAGGTCACGTGACCCATCTGACTTCATGTCAGAGGAAGAGAAAATACAAATTTCTAACATCACAATTTCTTCCACAGATGCCCTCTAAAGATGCTGGTGCAAGTGAGGCACCAGACTGCCCGCAAGGTGAAAGACGACGAGATGCTTGCCATGTCACCGTGCTTCATCGCCATCAGCGGCAGCCACAACCACGAGACAACCAGCGCAGCATCTCTCAAGGAACTCCGGGTTCTTCCCTCCGTCGAAGCTGCGTTCCACGATTACTTCAGAGGAGGTAAGGATGGTGAAAATCTGCCTATAGTTGTCCTATAGTGACAGACTACCTTAGCCCTCGCCCGCACATGCTATTTCGTCATCCTAGAACAGGGAATCGTGTATCCCACGCCATACCCAGTGCTGCGGAGTCGACCGAATTTCAGTGACTCCGACTCCGACACCGGTCCGCAAAAATCGACTCCGACTCCTGCTCCGACTCCGGTCGATAAAAAATTACCGACTCCGACTCCGGCAGACTCCGACTCCGACTCTGACTCCGCAGTACTGGCCATACCAACCTATCACTTTTTTACACCTTCGCCATGCCAGGGGGAGGGTTGGTACGACCCCCACCCTCACCATTTCGCTCCTTGTAAAGCTAGAGCGTTGCGAAAAAAGGACCATGCTGCTTGTCATTAGCCGCAGCGACTGGTACCCACAAATAAGGGCAAAGGCCAACCAGTGGCATCCAGCAATGCGAAATTCCCTGGAGATTCTATGTGCTTGCGGGCGAGGATTAACACGCGCACTGCAGCGGGTCTGAGCCGAACACGAACTGCAGGGGGGGGGGGTGAAAACACCCCCCCCCCCCTGAGATCTCGAAAACGGCGCAACGCAGCGTCAAGCAGTAAACGGCATTCGATAGGTCAAGATGTTATCTTTGACCTCAGGTCAAGGTCATGACCTGACCGAAATAGGTCATGTTGCGCATCTTTCGATCTGCATTGACGAGACAAACACGATAAACGTCGAACGGAGTCTCTATCTCTATTCAATTAAAAGTTATTGAAAAAAACCGTTGGTGACCTCAGGTGACCTCAGATGACCTGGAGATCACCTTCCAAAGGTCACAAGTGATATGTTTCGGCGAAATCACCAACAGGGACCTGTAATACTATCATCCTGAGCATATTGAAGTCATAGGATGGCATTCAGAGTAAGTTGAAAGTTCTCCCATTGACTTATAATGGGTCGGTCGCAAAAATGACCTTACCTTTGGTCATCGATATAAGAATTCCGAGATTTACAAGTTGTAGCTCGTGACGCCTTTACTATTTCCTGCGGGTGTCAAGATCCTATCTCAACAACTGTGGGCTTGGTGGGATTGCAAACTTCGAAATTTACGTTCTGAGGTAGGGTCACTTGACCTGACCTGGTGACCTGACCATAGGTCAGCTGGGGTCAATTTTTTACACAATGTGTGCAAAAGTTGGGAAAACAGGTATGCAAAATTTGGCGGCTCTCGCGATCTTCGAAAAACCACAGGGGAGGGGGGGGGTTGAAAACACCCCCTGCAGTGCGCGTGTTAACCCGCGCCCCACTGGCACTCTAGATTTTCCATCACCTACTGTGGGGGTGTGGGGGTGTGGGGGGGTGTTTGAACATCCCCCTCTATCTCAGCCGGTATTGGTCGTAGAGAAAAACGAAAAGAAAACATTCGAAAGCTCATCAAAAATGCTTACGAAACTACTTCGGTCATTTTTTCGATCAGGTCAACCAACTTCGCCACCAGTCGAACTAGGTCACCAGAGGTCACCGGAGAAAAAATGTTCGTTTTTACTTCTGATAGTTTTTCTTGAAAAACTTTTTCTTCAGACAAGATAGAGAATCGACTCGAACACCATCGTTCTTAGGTCGTCAAGGCGCATCGAATGATATATAACATGACCTCGAAAGGTCAAGTTGAAAATTTGACCTCAGGTCAAGGTCATGACCTGACCGAAATAGGTCATGTTGCATATCATTTGATGCGCATTGACGAGACAAACACGATAAACGTCGAACGGAGTCTCTATCTCTATTCAATAAAAAGTTATGGCAGAAAACCGCTGGTGACCTCAGGTGACCACGGATGAACTGGGGACACTTTACAAAGGTCACCGATGACATCTTTCGGTATAATGACCACCAGGGACCTGTAATACCATGATCCTGAGCATATTGAGTGGATCAGGTGGCATTCAGAGGAAGTTGAAAGTTCTCCCATTGACTTATAATGGTGATTCCAAAAATGCCCTGACCTTAGGTCACCGGTATAAAAATTCGGAGATATACAAGTTGTAGGTACTTGGTAGTATACCAAATCCTGAAAGTTTCAAATCTTTCTCTCCACTACTGTGACCCTGATGCAGTTTGAAAGTTTTTCGGAGGTGGGGTCACTTGACCTGACCTGGCGACCTGACCTGACCTGACCCAAACGCAAAAAAATAACACAAGGTGTAGAAAGGCTGGACGAAAAGGTAGACCAAATTTGGCGGCGCTGCGCGCCGCCGTTTTCTCACAATCCTAAAAAAACGCAGGGCGGGGGGATGTTCAAACACCCCCCACAGTTGGGCGCGGGTTAAGATGAATTTTGCTGTGCAGTCCATTGAAATAAGTCAATCTGCTTATGGGCTGTCGTGACCGATGCAATAATGACCTTTCTATTTATCGTTGACTAAACAATAAATACATCTATTTACAGGCATGGGACCGGCCGCAGCCTCGCGACATCACCAGCTGAAGCTGGACTTGGCGGCGGACGTGTGGGTCGAAAGAGCCAGAGCCGACACCAACCCCACCGCCCGAGCTGTGATACACATACACAACAAGTGGCTGAAGAGCACGGTCGGCGGCTGGAACGACTCCGACATGTTTGCCGCGCTCGAGAACTTCGCCAACAACACCGACAACGTCGTTGAAGTCGAAGTGGGCGCTAACGGGTCGTTCTGTGTGGCACTCGTCACACCGCTGATGGCACGTGTGCACGAGCTCCGCGAAGCAGGCGAGGTCGTGTTCGTCGACGCGACGGCGTCTGTCGATCGCCTCAACACGGCCGTGATACCGCTGCTGTGCGCCACCCCCATGGGAGCGCTGCCTCTGGGGATTGTGTTGACGTCCTCACAGGACGAGGCTCACCTTACCAAAGGTATGTTCACGATGTGTAATTGACGATTCATGTTTGTTACATAAGTACTTATTAGTAGTTTTTTTTTGTGTAATCTCAGTAGTATGTATAAATAGTATGTATAATTTGTGGCAACCTCAGACAATTTTCTGATTGCGGCGTGCTAGAATCGTGAGACCCCGTCTCTTTCGGTATCACCACTTTCGATTCAATTCATCATTGACCATTGTGCACATGCGACATCAAAAATGTTTTACCATCTTACGATTTATCCACAGCAATAATATATCTATAATTTACATTATAAGTGTCTTGTTTGCTTACCATACCCGTATACAATATGTGTGTAACGTGAAGATAATGGACACTGGCATGTGTTGGCAACGTCTACGAACTCTTTGTTTGCAGGCTTCGAGCTGCTGAAGAAGGCACTGGGAGAGAAGGCGTTCTACGGTCGACAACACCCCGAGTGCTTCATGACGGACAACTGTGACGCAGAGAGGGGTGCACTGCGGAAGGTGTGGCCAGAGTCAGCCCAGTACCTATGCATCTTTCATGTGCTGCAACAGGTGTGGCGGTGGGTCCTGGACAGTCGCCATGGTGTACCAAAACAGGACCGCCAACGCTACATGGCCATCATGAAGCAGCTCGTGTACGCACCGTCTCCAGATGCCTTTCAGCTGATCCTGGATGGCGTAGATGTCGCACATGAGGGCTTCGCAAGGTTGGTTCATTCACATTCAACAGTTCATTTTGAATACTTTGCATATACGATCATAAAATAGCGTAAATGCTAAGGCCATTTGCTTTTCAGGTCAATAATATGTTCACCAGAGCTTCCAAAGGTCACCAAATTCAAAATATGTCGATATTGTTACGGCTCGACATTCAGTGAACTAGAATATAGCGACAAAAATAGCGACAATTTGAACTCAGGTCATCAGTTTAGCCTCCAGAGGTCATATGTAATGGCAGATTAATGACAGATTTACGTACATTGGGTTTCTACAATTAATTTTGTTCCAGAAAAGACAGAGGAGCTATTCACACACCATCGTTTTTTTTTTTCGTTCGATATTAGAGACGCGTTCAGCCACAAATAACTTGAACTCCAAAGGTGAATTTGAAAATGAGGCCTTGTGTTAAGGCTTCACGAGGTCAAATAGGCGATGCTTGATCCAAATAGGTCATTTTAAGCGTATATCGCTCGATCCGCATTAACCCGCGCTCTGCTGGGGAAGGGGGTTGAACCCCCTTGCGTTTTTCAGATCCATAGAAAACGTGGCGGCGCGCAGCGCCGCCAAATTTTGAATACCTGTTCTCCCATCGCACAATGCACATTGTGTGAAAATTTTGACCCCAGGTGATCTAAGGTCAGGTCACCAGGTCAGGTTAGAGACCCCACCTCCAAAGATATTTGAACTTGCACCAAAGCTACATTGAGCGATCGGTATTTGTCACCTGAGGTCAGATCAACTTCACGACCTCCCATTTTAAGTCAATGGGAGAAATTTCAACTTACTCTGAATGCCATCCAATGACTTCAATATCCTCAGGATCATGCTATTACAGGTCCCCTTTGGTGATTTTACCGACACATATCACCTGTGACCTTTGGAAGGTGTTCCTTAGGTCATCCGAGGTCACCTGAGATCGCCAACAGTTTCTATGCAATAACTTTTGACTAAATAAAGATAGAGCCTCCAAACAACGCTCAGTGTGTTTGTCTCGTCGACAAGGATCCACTGATATGCAGTATTACCCATTTGGGTGGTCAGGTCATGACCTTGACCCGAGGCACAGACTTCTCTATAAAGACTTCTCTTCTCTTTATAGAGAAGTCTGTGCCTGAGGTCAAAGGTTTAACCTGAAGTCTAGTTGACCGTTCGAAGCCATATTAAATATATATCATTCGACGCGCCTTGAAGAGCTAAGAACAACGACATTTGAATCGTTCCTCTGTCACTTCGGGAACAGACTTTCAAGTGCCAAAATTGACTCCAGGTCAGGTCAGGTCACTGACATGTGGCGTCATTATCTGACCTCTACACAACCGAAAAAAGAAATGTATAGGTATCGCTGCCAACTCGGAGAAGTTCACTCGCTCTGACTGAAAATATAAACAGAAAAAAAACAGCAAAAGGTCTCAGCAAGTTATTTCCCATCTCCCTAAGTAACTGTCCGGCATCGCTGGGTTTGATTTCCCAATGACTGATACCTAAAGGTCACGTGACCCATCTGACTTCATGTCAGAGGAAGAGAAAATACAAATTTCTAACATCACAATTTCTTCCACAGATGCCCTCTAAAGATGCTGGTGCAAGTGAGGCACCAGACTGCCCGCAAGGTGAAAGACGACGAGATGCTTGCCATGTCACCGTGCTTCATCGCCATCAGCGGCAGCCACAACCACGAGACAACCAGCGCAGCATCTCTCAAGGAACTCCGGGTTCTTCCCTCCGTCGAAGCTGCGTTCCACGATTACTTCAGAGGAGGTAAGGATGGTGAAAATCTGCCTATAGTTGTCCTATAGTGACAGACTACCTTAGCCCTCGCCCGCACATGCTATTTCGTCATCCTAGAACAGGGAATCGTGTATCCCACGCCATACCCAGTGCTGCGGAGTCGACCGAATTTCAGTGACTCCGACTCCGACACCGGTCCGCAAAAATCGACTCCGACTCCTGCTCAGACTCCGGTCGATAAAAAATTACCGACTCCGACTCCGGCAGACTCCGACTCCGACTCTGACTCCGCAGTACTGGCCATACCAACCTATCACTTTTTTACACCTTCGCCATGCCAGGGGGAGGGTTGGTACGACCCCCACCCTCACCATTTCGCTCCTTGTAAAGCTAGAGCGTTGCGAAAAAAGGACCATGCTGCTTGTCATTAGCCGCAGCGACTGGTACCCACAAATAAGGGCAAAGGCCAACCAGTGGCATCCAGCAATGCGAAATTCCCTGGAGATTCTATGTGCTTGCGGGCGAGGATTAACACGCGCACTGCAGCGGGTCTGAGCCGAACACGAACTGCAGGGGGGGGGGGGTGAAAACACCCCCCCCCCTGAGATCTCGAAAACGGCGCAACGCAGCGTCAAGCAGTAAACGGCATTCGATAGGTCAAGATGTTATCTTTGACCTCAGGTCAAGGTCATGACCTGACCGAAATAGGTCATGTTGCGCATCTTTCGATCTGCATTGACGAGACAAACACGATAAACGTCGAACGGAGTCTCTATCTCTATTCAATTAAAAGTTATTGAAAAAAACCGTTGGTGACCTCAGGTGACCTCAGATGACCTGGAGATCACCTTCCAAAGGTCACAAGTGATATGTTTCGGCGAAATCACCAACAGGGACCTGTAATACTATCATCCTGAGCATATTGAAGTCATAGGATGGCATTCAGAGTAAGTTGAAAGTTCTCCCATTGACTTATAATGGGTCGGTCGCAAAAATGACCTTACCTTTGGTCATCGATATAAGAATTCCGAGATTTACAAGTTGTAGCTCGTGACGCCTTTACTATTTCCTGCGGGTGTCAAGATCCTATCTCAACAACTGTGGGCTTGGTGGGATTGCAAACTTCGAAATTTACGTTCTGAGGTAGGGTCACTTGACCTGACCTGGTGACCTGACCATAGGTCAGCTGGGGTCAATTTTTTACACAATGTGTGCAAAAGTTGGGAAAACAGGTATGCAAAATTTGGCGGCTCTCGCGATCTTCGAAAAACCACAGGGGAGGGGGGGGGGGTTGAAAACACCCCCTGCAGTGCGCGTGTTAACCCGCGCCCCACTGGCACTCTAGATTTTCCATCACCTACTGTGGGGGTGTGGGGGTGTGGGGGGGTGTTTGAACATCCCCCTCTATCTCAGCCGGTATTGGTCGTAGAGAAAAACGAAAAGAAAACATTCGAAAGCTCATCAAAAATGCTTACGAAACTACTTCGGTCATTTTTTCGATCAGGTCAACCAACTTCGCCACCAGTCGAACTAGGTCACCAGAGGTCACCGGAGAAAAAATGTTCGTTTTTACTTCTGATAGTTTTTCTTGAAAAACTTTTTCTTCAGACAAGATAGAGAATCGACTCGAACACCATCGTTCTTAGGTCGTCAAGGCGCATCGAATGATATATAACATGACCTCGAAAGGTCAAGTTGAAAATTTGACCTCAGGTCAAGGTCATGACCTGACCGAAATAGGTCATGTTGCATATCATTTGATGCGCATTGACGAGACAAACACGATAAACGTCGAACGGAGTCTCTATCTCTATTCAATAAAAAGTTATGGCAGAAAACCGCTGGTGACCTCAGGTGACCACGGATGAACTGGGGACACTTTACAAAGGTCACCGATGACATCTTTCGGTATAATGACCACCAGGGACCTGTAATACCATGATCCTGAGCATATTGAGTGGATCAGGTGGCATTCAGAGGAAGTTGAAAGTTCTCCCATTGACTTATAATGGTGATTCCAAAAATGCCCTGACCTTAGGTCACCGCAGGCGAGGTCGTGTTCGTCGACGCGACGGCGTCTGTCGATCGCCTCAACACGGCCGTGATACCGCTGCTGTGCGCCACCCCCATGGGAGCGCTGCCTCTGGGGATTGTGTTGACGTCCTCACAGGACGAGGCTCACCTTACCAAAGGTATGTTCACGATGTGTAATTGACGATTCATGTTTGTTACATAAGTACTTATTAGTAGTTTTTTTTTGTGTAATCTCAGTAGTATGTATAAATAGTATGTATAATTTGTGGCAACCTCAGACAATTTTCTGATTGCGGCGTGCTAGAATCGTGAGACCCCGTCTCTTTCGGTATCACCACTTTCGATTCAATTCATCATTGACCATTGTGCACATGCGACATCAAAAATGTTTTACCATCTTACGATTTATCCACAGCAATAATATATCTATAATTTACATTATAAGTGTCTTGTTTGCTTACCATACCCGTATACAATATGTGTGTAACGTGAAGATAATGGACACTGGCATGTGTTGGCAACGTCTACGAACTCTTTGTTTGCAGGCTTCGAGCTGCTGAAGAAGGCACTGGGAGAGAAGGCGTTCTACGGTCGACAACACCCCGAGTGCTTCATGACGGACAACTGTGACGCAGAGAGGGGTGCACTGCGGAAGGTGTGGCCAGAGTCAGCCCAGTACCTATGCATCTTTCATGTGCTGCAACAGGTGTGGCGGTGGGTCCTGGACAGTCGCCATGGTGTACCAAAACAGGACCGCCAACGCTACATGGCCATCATGAAGCAGCTCGTGTACGCACCGTCTCCAGATGCCTTTCAGCTGATCCTGGATGGCGTAGATGTCGCACATGAGGGCTTCGCAAGGTTGGTTCATTCACATTCAACAGTTCATTTTGAATACTTTGCATATACGATCATAAAATAGCGTAAATGCTAAGGCCATTTGCTTTTCAGGTCAATAATATGTTCACCAGAGCTTCCAAAGGTCACCAAATTCAAAATATGTCGATATTGTTACGGCTCGACATTCAGTGAACTAGAATATAGCGACAAAAATAGCGACAATTTGAACTCAGGTCATCAGTTTAGCCTCCAGAGGTCATATGTAATGGCAGATTAATGACAGATTTACGTACATTGGGTTTCTACAATTAATTTTGTTCCAGAAAAGACAGAGGAGCTATTCACACACCATCGTTTTTTTTTTTCGTTCGATATTAGAGACGCGTTCAGCCACAAATAACTTGAACTCCAAAGGTGAATTTGAAAATGAGGCCTTGTGTTAAGGCTTCACGAGGTCAAATAGGCGATGCTTGATCCAAATAGGTCATT